ACCCCTGAACTATCAAATATATAAGTGTTTGGTTCGAAAAAGTGAAATAAATGTGTTAAATTGGATTACATCTCACAACATACGATGATCAAAGAGTTAGTTCAAGGTACAAAATCACATAGTAGCTAATTTTGATCTTGATGGCACACCATGTACCTGAGCTACAAGGTTATATATTTAGAGTGATTAGTCATGTGACATTGCTTAAAGCAATACGGAACTATTTGTCCATGTGTTTTTGGGCATGTTGCATAAAGACAACAAGCCTACTAAGGGCCTAATCCAACCTTGTTTTTTACTCTAATTGCACATGTTGTCACGCCTACTTCTTTGGCTTTATCTAAATAACTCAAAACTAATTGCCCTCCTAAAAGGATTTAACTACCTAATTGCCACACCACACCACACCACACCAATTTTTTCTAATAACTTTTAATACATGGTTAAAAAATTAAAATTTAAATGAGTTATTATAATTAAAAAATTAAAATTTTCATATATGATCTATTTATTAAACGAGTTTAACGTGTAAACTCGAATCAAAGAACACCACATGAAATATGAATCTAATAATTTTGAAATATTATTTTTCTCCAATACCTCAAGGAAACCACTGTTTTTAATCATGAATTTGACACTAAAATTGTGACAAATACTCAATTACAATGTTTCTCTTCCTGCTTGTGTCAAACCCTTCCAAAATTTTGAAATATATTTTCGGATATCATTTTTTTTTAATCAATTAATAATATATTATTTTATTTTATAATTTTTTATTAAAAATTTAAAATTTAAAATTATTTNCTCCAATATCTCAAGGAAACCACTGTTTTTAATCATGAATTTGACACTAAAATTGTGACAAATACTCAATTACAATGTTTCTCTTCGTGCTTGTGTCAAACCCTTCCAAAATTTTGAAATATATTTTCGGATATCATATTTTTTTTAATCAATTAATAATATATTATTTTATTTTATAATTTTTTATTAAAAATTTAAAATTTAAAATTATTTGTCAACATATTAACTTTTCTACTATAATAAAAGCTCAACACGACACCGTTGGAATCTCTCCCGGTATGTACGGTTATCCTTAAGCAAATTTAAGTATAATCTCGCGGAACACGTGTGCGGCAAAACGAAAGACAACTTTNCACAAGACACCGTTGGAATCTCTCCCGGTATGTACGGTTATCCTTAAGCAAATTTAAGTATGATCTCGCGGAACACGTGTGCGGTAAAACGAAAAACAACTTTCACCAAACAAACAAAAGTATCTCAGCACGGATCTATATGATTTGAAGTGTCTGAAAAATCTGTCTCAACCATCAGACATCGTACCCTTCACTTTGTTGACTTTGGTCTATTGGCCACGAATTTTCAGCCGTCTAATATGGATTTGTCAAAGTGTGTGATAGACTTGTAGGTCCATACGGAATAATTTGGAGTAATTCGTGTTTAAATGTACGGTAAAATATAAATAAAAAATAATAAATTTATAAGGAAGAAAATTTAATATGAATAATTTTAAAAAAAATATTGATAGTCATTAAATATGTTTATTTGATATCAAATTTATTAAATTTTATTTTATTTTATAATTGTAAAACAATTTGTACTAAATAAATACAATTATTATCTCTGCAACATGGTGACAACAGAGGAAAAAAGAGCCGTCCAAACCATTTCACTGTCAATTACCGGAGGTAAGGACAAGATGATTTGACTACCAAATCAAAAGGTGGGTACAGTGTGTTTAGATAATCAGCAAGAATAAAAATAATTTTTTTTTTTTTTTATATTCTAACCCATCTCGTCCAAACTCGTTGAGACGCTTAATTACATGAGTTATGTATACCAAACAATTCAATTGAATTGGATGGACTCCACTAGACTTTTATAGATATTTATTATTATACCCATTGATAAACCAGACTTGTATAGTAGTTGCCACCATTGTTGCCACAATAGAAACGTCATTACTGTCACAACAGAACCACCATTGCCACAATAGAACACCCACTATCACAACAGAACAGAACACCCACCACCACAACATAAACGTTGTTGTCGCCGCCACCACTACCACAATAGAAACATCCACCACTATCAAATATGAGAGTTAGAGAAATTAGAGTTTCAAAATCATCCATTATCGTGGTGGTGCAAGTGATTGTGAACGATCAAGGTTAGGGGTGGTGCTAGTGAAGATCTCTTCTTCATTCGGTCCACTCCGGCACCCAAACCTATCCCAGCAAAAACCCTAGGCTTGGGCTTCATCGTTCTCACAAAGCGAAAGAGAGAGAGAGAGAGATATGAGACAGACAGAGAATGAGAGCTAGAGGTCTGGACTTTTCGTTGCCTTCACAAAGCGAGAGAGAAAGCTCTCAAGAGAGGAAGGTGGGTAAATATGTCATTACCCCTTCATAACCCGTCGGCTAGGATTTAAACCCATGGTGGAGGTGGGTTAATTTTAACTCATGTAACAGGGTTAAAAAGCACTGTTGCATTCGGATCAAGGATAGATCTGAGATTTATATCTTAGGTCAATTTTAACTTCCCAAACAAAGGTTTTGTGAAACCCATTGCCTTATTACCCTATCCTTATGGAAGTTAACCCTCTTTAACCCATTACCCAAACATACCCATAATCTATAATTTATAATATAAAATAAGAAAATTTTTAATAAGTTCATCGAATGATCTTAAATAGATTCATATGACCACTAATATTCCTCTCAAAATCACTCAAAAATTATCTCAAATAGAAAAGAGCTCCTCTTTTTCTCCGCACCCAAAAATTATGACAGTTTTTAATTATGAACACCTCTCTTTCACTGAGGATCACTTACCCTCCACTCAAGCTAAAGGCTTTTATTTTGACTGTTTTTAATTTGGGTTTTTTCCCTTGAATGAAATTATTTTAACTTTGTTTGATAAAAAAAATAAAAAATTAGTGTATGGGTCAAAGAATCGATTCATGCAATCAAGATTTATCTTCAGTTCTATTCGGATTCACAAGCTTGAGTTATTAAGTCGCATTTATCTTGTCGAAGACAAGTTAGAGATTTTCCCCCGTCATCAAAAAATAAAAAATAAAAAAATTTTGAGTCATTAGAATATACTATATCCGAATGTGAAAGAATGCTGGTTATATCTAACTTCCATTAAATGAAACAGTGAAAAAAATCTTGCGCCATACATTGTCACGAGGAAAAAAAAATATGATTAAAAATTCTCTTTACATGTGATTCATTGGAAGAACAAAAGACAAAGCAAATATTTATTTTCCATGGATCATTCATTGGAACCAATTATGCTAGGCAACATATCATTTGTTATGATTTGTTCGACTCCAAAAATCATCGCTATGATTGAGGTGGGTAATTTAAAAAATAATAATAAATATGCATTATCTTGAGTTATCCGAACAAACTTGACTGTTAAATAAAAAAAAAAATTGTTGTTCCTTTGGTCATTCATGGGAACCAATTAAGCTAGGCTACATATCATTTGTAATGATTAGTTCGAGCCCAAACAAGGTGGCTACAAGTCATCAAAGTAATTCAAAATAGAAAGTTTTTGAGGAGTATTATTTCAAGTTTTTTAATTTAAGTATAGCAAAAGGTACACATATTGATTCAGTTTTTATGGTTTAGAGGTGATTGTTTGCAATCTTAATTCATATTAGAGCCACGATTCCAAAAGAAACATTGTGAATTCGATTTTTGGTTATATGATATTCCACAAGTTAATTTCATTTGTAAACATATTTGATGGTATAATTTATGTGGTTGTGTAGTAGAACTTGAGGCTAAAAAAGGTAAAAAAAGATTGGAGACTCTATGGGATGTCTTTCAATGTTTGAATAATCGACACAATGATAATAATAGAAAATGGAAATTAACAAATAGAGGATTTATAGTAATTTACCAGCTTAGAAACTTGGTTAATCTACTCTAACGGAGTCTCTCTTGCTTCGGGGAAAACTCTCTATTGCTTGAGAAAGACGATTACAATGCCCTTTAGAGACGATTACAAGTGTTCGATCCTTTACAAATGTGAGGGATTGATCACTATTTATAGTGTGTAGGAGCATGATCCTTGTATAATCAACGTAAACCCTCCAAGATTGTTATGGACCATGTGATGAAATATTTGATCGTTGGAGGCTACATTCCCTAGGCGTGATGTAACATTCTAGAATATGCGAGTTGTAACTGTCGTAGTTTGCACAAGAGTATGTTGTTGCTGACTCCCGATCTATGGTTCTTGAGCTAGAAATCATGAGCTGGGGTCACGAGAGCTAGTGTTCAGGCTTTGAAACATGAGGCTATCAAGATCAACCCACAGAATTAATGGACAGGGTAAATTAATCCAGCCCAAACATGCATATTATACATCAAACGAGCCCAATTGCATATGACATTTCCACTATCAAAAAAATTCAATCCCGCAAAAGATTGTTCACAGAACTACTATCGAGATTCTTCGGACCATATTTCCTAGTTGGCTTCCCTATTGCTCCTATTTCGTGCTTCTACTCTATTCTGATTTTGACGGATGGAACCTCATTGTACCCTAACTTGGGATCATTAGATGCTTGGACATTAGTAGTTAAGTTCTACATCTTCGTCTTTGTTGTGTTTTTCATACTGTTTTTTTAAACCAATCATGCAAATACATAATTTGAGTACCTAATTAACGGTAAGCAAAGAACTGAGTTGGTTCCTGGTTCTACTTTTCTCAACAGAAAAATCAGAAATTTATTTCTGAATTTCTAACAACTTCTCCATCGACTACAATGGAAAGCCATCAGACCAAAAGTAAAACAAAGAGCAAAGAGAAAATACATCATCCCTTCCATACAAGCCCAAGCCCTCACATATTCCCCCACCATGCTCTTTACTCTGGCCTAATAATAATAAGCAATTAAAATTCCACCTCAACAATGTGAACTTTCTGATCCTCCGCGGGCATACGATCCAAATTCAAGGTCACCAATCCGGACTCTGAATCATATGCAAAGTCTGCCACCCTGATCCCACCATGCACTTCCTTGGCTTAGCCGATGAGTAAGCACCAAAACGGCCACACCCTTTAACCTCCATTGAAACTATTGCCACTACTTCTGTGCTCAAGTTCTCAACCCTCTTGCTTGCAACACCACTGCCTTCCCCTTCATATCCATTTTTTAGTTCTGACAACAGGGCACCACCATGAGCTTCATATCTAAGTGCCTCAATGGCTCCACCAGCATTGAACATGTCAATGAGCCCCAATGGCGCAAAGCTGAACCCAGGTGTCAAGACCTTGATTGGGGTAACGGTGAAAATGTCGTGCTCAAGGACCTTGAGGGACACGGGCATGGAAGCATTGTAAGGTCGAGTAACCACCTCACCACTCCGGTGACAGTAGACAGCACAGTCACCATTCCAGTTGGAGTCCATGNAGTACTCAAGGAGCTTGAGGGACACGGGCATGGAAGCATTGTAAGGCCGAGTAACAACCTCACCACTCCGGTGACAGTAGACAGCACAGTCACCATTCCAGTTGGAGTCCATGGCAACTTCAGCAATGAGATGGACATCTCGGCCTCTAACATAGCCTGATATAGCTTCAGATTTAGTTTGGTGGAATGTGTTCTTTCTCTCAACGCTGTTCCATGCTGCACCTTGGCAGTTGTACACTCCAAGCACTCCACTGTACTTGTTCATGTTCCAAATCTTCAACAGGCTGACACCAAACAAGATAATAGTAAGGAAGTGATTTAAGTGAAAACATCATATGAGAAGTTATATGTTCAGTCTCAGAATTGAAGGGCATACATATTTTCTAATCAAAACTGACTTTTACAATAAATTTCAACATCCAAGCCTCTGTCGAAGACTATGAGTTTGCCCAAAATATGTAGAACATGTGAAGTAAATATTATGCTACAATTTTGGTCCAAACAAGACACCTAGTTCTGGCTCACAATCCAGTTGGAAATTCACTTGTATGGTAATGGTAGTGTGAAATTAAAATTACTCACCTAACACCATCACGAGCAGGGTCGAAGAATAGGCAATCCTTGGTAGGCCGACCAGGCAAGCGTGCTTGGAGAATTGAACCGTCTGGCAGAACAAGTTTCTTTAGGAGATCAAAATTGTGCTTCCCAGGTGCATCACTGTTCAGAGACTCAACCTTAGTGAATCGTGGCAATCAATAAACAAGCATTGATCATGAGTACAGTGTTAACATATATAAGGTGATAGAATGGTAGGATTTCTAACCTTACGTAAAGGGGACCACCGCTGATCGCCCTAGCTGATCCATGGTACTCAGCCGCTGGATGGAGGGAGTGGAACATATCCCAATCAGGCTGCATAAATTCTCCAAGGAAGACACTATTGTATGCAACTGCGGCTATGTGGATGGTGTGTGACACGGGATCACGCAGATAGAAATCATCTGATGCTCTAACGATAGCCGTTTGTTTGGAGCTGTTACATTGAACCATTAGAACAGAACACATCTTAATCATATCCAAACTGGAAAGACAACAATGTCCAAGGTAAGGTATACA